AGCTTCTAAAGATCAACAGAGAAGGGCCTTTTTTTGTTTTTGTGTTTGTTTGTTTGTTTGTTACAGATTTGCCTGCAGTAATATAAAAAGGATGTATGAGGATCAGGTGAATGTGCAGATGTCTGAACCACTCGATTACAAAAAAAAAAAAAATTCAACATGTCCTAGGAACGGCCAGCAGAGTGGAAAACCTGAGTCATTTTAAGGGGCTAAATTAGTTTAAATTAAATGTTTTTGTGACTGTGCTGAGTCCCTTAGCTGAAAGAAGGAAAGACAACGTTTCATGTTTTGTTATAAAGCTTAAGTAGCTTCCATATGAATGTAGAGAGCAAAATGCAATCCAGATCACCTATTGAGCACCTGATTTACACAGAAGTAAAGTTGAATAATTTTTTCCCCTTTGACTAATACCAATTTCAAAGCAAGCTAAATGGGTTGTATGTCAAGCTTACTGATAACTTGGGGTTTTTCATTATTAAACACTGATGACCTGTAATTATCCATGTTCATCTGTGTGACACATGGAAGCAATCATACATCTTCTGTTAGGTGTGCTTTGATGGTCTAGCCTCATGTCCAAATGGTGAAATTCCCAGCAGCCTTGTAGTTTAATCATAATTTTATTGACACACTTCTGAGTTTCAAAAAAGTGTAACATTCATTACTTCAGTAATCGTTATAACAATCCTAGAAGGCAAGTCTATCCCTGAAGGGAGAAAAGCCAGGGAGAGAGATTTGCCTATATTTTCAAGCTGAGTTTAATGTAGGGGCTTTCCAAGCTGCAGTCCATGTTTGTTTGTTTACAAAATTTATATACTGCTTCATATTTCAGTGTCAAGATTCAGGGTGGTGCACAACAACAATTCAGTATCTTTAAAACAAAATCTTTAACTGTGGCTGGTCAGTTCAGGAAGTCTTTCTGAAACTGTGTTTTTAGGAGCTGCTGAAAACAATACAAAGTTGGCACCTGCCTCACCTCCAGTGGCAGGAAGTTCCAAAGAAAAGGAGCCAGTGCTCCCAGTTGAGCCATAGACTCGTATGTCATCCAGTGACCTCAGTGACTGGGCAGGTTGGTGAGGCAGGTGGTGCTCTCTTGGGTATTCTGGTCCCAAGTTGTTTAGGACTTGATGCACTAGTACTGAAACCTTAAAACTTGACCCCATAGTGAATGGCAAAGGAAAAGGGGCAGCTCTTAACAAAAACCAAGCTGTTGCCTTCTGCAGTAGATCTAGGTAGCCCTGTGGCTAATGGGCTGAGATAAAAATCTAATGCATAAATAAATAACAACAAATCTAGCTTTCTTATCAGCCTTTAGATCACTCCCAAGTAGGAGAGCCTTAATCTGGCAGAGCAGTTTGAAGCTGGTAAAAGGTACTCAGTACCACTTGGGTGACAATGGTGGATCTAGGAGTAGCCATGGACTACAAACCTAATCTTTGAAAGGGAGCATGATCCAAACCAGAACAGGCAAGGAGCCTCTGGAAGCCACATCCCCACAGGATTTGCATCTTGCCAGGATTCAGCTTCAGCTTATCGATCTTCATCCAGCACCCCAGTGAGTCTAGGCACCAATCAAGGCCTTGCACGGGCTCACGGATGTCAAGGGGAGATATTGCTATGTGTCATCAGCATACTGATGGCTCTTGAAGCCTCCCAGTGACCACTCCAGGCATTTTCATATAGGTCTTGAATAGCACAGAGAAGACGATTGCACCCTTGCCAAGGGGCTAAGTCACCAGAGATGCATCTGAGCTCCATGGAATCCGTCCCTCTGGTGTTCATAGACTTCCTCTCACGCTTGACCCTGTCTTGGAAGGCAAGCTGAACCAAGAAGCAGTACACAAAAGCTTGCGGAACGAGGGTTGGGCAGCTGGAAACATCCTGTGCGTGTGCAGTAGTGCAAATAAAGGATGCTGCTTGCACAGTGATAACACAAAGCTCAGATCCTGGCAAATGCCGAATGAATGCTGCGATGCTCACCGAGAACTCAGACTCAGGGTTGTGCCAAAGCCCCTTGGATTCCTGCCTGCAAAGCAGACTCCTCACACATTCCTAATAGTCACTCAGTGTTCCTCTCTGAAATGGGACTGGAATTGCCATAGCACAGTGCCTCCATTGCTTACCACCCCTTCACACAGACATGAGTTGAGCAGCCCTTGGGCCCGCCTGGACTCCACCAGCCTCAGCGAGCTTTCATTAGCCAGGAGGGGCGAGGATCAAGAGGGGGTGTGCACTGCTGTCATCCAGCTGCAGCAACCGGACTTGGTCCCACAGACTGGGCAGGAGGCAGCGCCCGATAGCGCCACTGGAGCTGCACCAACAACAGCATCACGTGCACTGCAGAGACAAGTGATTTTGTGCTCGCAATCCCATGGCCAAAAGGGTCTTAAGGGGACCAGGGCTCTATTTTCTGGGGCCTGGAACACCCAAAAGTGCTTCGCAATGCAGTGCCAGGTGCAAAGGAACGCTTCTTTGTTGCCTACACTGCGGCTCAGTAGGCACAACTCCGCAGCCTGCAGCACGTTCACTTGGCATCTTACACCATTTGCCAATATGCAGCCTGTTTTCATTGGCTGACGGGGCTGTACAAAGCTGGAGAAGGCTCTTGAGTGCAGTCAAGCTGCTGGCCTTCCATAGCTCTCTCCATAGCAATGAGGTGAAGGACTTTGCTAGAATGCCAGCCCTTTCCATTAGGAAATTCTCAAGACTGTTCAGAAATGTGTTGTATTCTATCATTCTTCTGGGGTAGAACATCTGAATGGACCCTACAGGAAGCTGCATTCCTGTCTTCCCTACAGGAGAAAGATAATACTGTGAGTTCAAATGTCTGCAGGAAACAGTCTTACCATATCAGTGGTGACTTGGGCAGCCCCCTCAATTTTCAGATTACTTGTCTCCGAGCTTGGAGCAAAGGCCCGAGCCATTTACAGATTGAGGCAGCCACATGGTTTACATGGAAGCTGTGAAGCCCTGAGTCGGGATTCCAAAGGCAGCCTCAGCGTGGAACTTAAAGTCACCCAGAAATACTGTGCTGAGTTCCTCTAACACCACACTTGAAACCACCTTGGTCAGGGAGGTTGCTCCCTAGAAGATGGATATTCTCCGCTCTGAAGCTGGTGGGAGGCTTGGGAGAATCTTGCCCTGGCAACATCTTGGCCCTGAAGGGTTTGGCCCAAAAAGGGTGGATGTATGGGCCTCAGTTGCAGCGGGACACCGCCAGTAATTGTTTCGTCAGTTAAGCCTTGGCTCAAGGCTTGTACATAGGGACGTCGCTCCATAGCACAGTGTCACTTTCTATATTTCAAAAGACCGTGTCCCTCTCCATGGAGGGACTGAGCACAACATATATTTGCAGTTGGATGTCTTTCTCTGGTGTTGCAGTGTGGTCCCTTTCCTGCTTGCTATCTCTGTACTGAGGAAGGAACTGAAAGACAGTCAGATGATATTTTATTTCTCATGTCTTATGCCTTTTATAAGGAGCGGTGTTGCCCGGTTTGCAAATCCGCTGCGTTTTGTGAATCCAGTTGAAAGCATTGCATTATTTTGTTGGAATGCTGGGTTAGGACACTGGGGACCCTTACGCACTGGGTGGCCTTGATGAAAATATTTTTCTTTAGCCTAGGCTACTTCACAAGGTCACCATGAGGCTAAAATGTCCCTCTGAACTCCGTTGAGGATGTACAGGATGCAAATCCTTTGTTATCTTTGGCATTCTTCTTGCTGTCTCCCCATGCATTTTTTTTTAAAGATTGTAAGCTCCTCAGGGCAGAGACCTGACCTTTCGTGTAATGGTATGAACACCATTAATATTGACAATCTATATGTGACAAAATATAGTGTAATACAATAGCAGTATCATCAACAGTAATGCCTCTACTTGTGATTAGTACTTCTGTGCTCCAGAGCTGAGAGTATCCATCCTTTGGGGAGGAACCTAGCTATTCTCTGGCATAAAGAAGAGGTGTCCTGGGACAGCTCATAGGATGTATACGCTGGAGCGGATGATGATTCATCAGAGAAAACAATTTCAATCAGTCAGGTCTTTGTGGGTTAGAGTGAATAGTTGGGAAATTACAAGAAAGTAATGAAACAGAAAACAAACAAATTCAGTGTAGTAATTTCAGTAGTTCTTCCCATGAGTAAGAAAGAGGTGTGGAACTGAGTTAACAGATGCGTTCCTTGTGGAACAAGTACACATGTCCTTTTGCGATATGAAGAAATTCCTGTCAAAGTTGCTTGTTGTGCGGTACCAGCTGTCCTTCCTTACAAAGTCAGTTTGGTTGTGCTTTCCTTACAGTGACTTGGTTCACGTATTACATGAAGCCATTCTGGGTGAATTTCCATGTCGGGTTTTTCATTGTGGAGGCTGCTGTGATTTTGAATATTAGGGATGTGCTGTGACTTTATGTTACGTGCGTACCCAGGACAGGTGGGTTGTTGGAAGGGCTGACAAGCTAACTGCAGTCATAAAGCTGCCCATGACTTCTGGATGGCTTGTCAGCTACACCAACAGCCCACCAGCTCTGAACTGCACATAATGAGGAATTTTGGCATGCCACCACTCCACTCTGAATGGTCAAAGTGAGAACACCATTCAGGACAAGAAACCCTGCAGTTGGCTTCCTGCTAGGTGAAACCGGGCCAGTGGATTTGTTGGATTATATCCAGGATTGATGTGATCGCTTGGCACATTCACAGGAGCTTGTTCATTGGCCCACTTTGCTTTCAAGTGTCCAACCACGTCCCTCTGTTACTCAGGGCAGAGGTGGGCAGGCTGGTTCCCTCTGGATAATGTGGGCGACAACTCCTGTCAGCTGCAACCACCATGGCCTGTGGTCAGGGATTGTGGGAACTGTAGTGTCCAGACTGGAAGGCCTGGCAAGGGTTTCCCCATGGTTGACAGCTGAAGCTGTGGGAAACTTGAGCCTCGGCTTCCCAAGGCTTCGTATGCCAATGGTTTATCCTGCCTCTCACTGTCTCCTTGGTGTTTTCTTCTTCAGGTTTTTCGTACTGATCTGATAACAGCTATGAAGATTCCAGATTCTTATCAGTTGAGCCCAGATGAATACTACATCCTTGCTGATCCCTGGAGGCAAGAGTGGGAGAAAGGGGTTCAGGTGCCAGCAAATACAGAAACAATCCCAGAACCAATGGTTAGGTAAGCAAGCCTGATCCTTTTCTTCTGGTAGCCATTTTCTTTGCCTCAGAAGGGCAGAGTCCAGTGCCATGCTCTGCATGTATGTTTCCAAAGGAGCTTCCAAAATCATTAAGAAAAACTGGCAATTTAATTTGGTTGACTGTGATAATAGAATTATCTCAGTTGTACAGCATGATTTGAGGGAGCTAATGCTTCCTATCAGGATGTGAAAAGAATCCAGATTTGCAATACCACACAGCATCCTAAGGCAGCCACTGTGGTCCCAAGAATTCTGCGACAGTCGCTATCAGCAATTTTGCTGCATCCTGCAAGCAAGCAACCCAAACACATTTTCCTGCCACTTAGTGCTGCGGTTCTGGGAAGCTGCCATTTTAATTTCCCAGAATACACCTGACATAGCATTGTTCCAAGGCATTATGGGAAATGAAAAAAAGCAGATGGTCAGTTCTTGGTTGCCTGAGTGTTGTCGCTTGGTAAGCCTTTTTGTGGGTGGGCAGTGTTCTAAGAGGGAAAACACCTTAGAGCACCGAGCTTGGAGCCAGCCTGGAATGCCTGCTTGCTGTTTCTAGGAAGATCTGACCACTCCCTTCCCAAAGCATTGAGTTCAAGACTGTTTGAGGAGACAAAGTCAGTCTGCCTGCTGCTTTGGCTGCCTTAGGCTCGGAGCTGGAAGGTGAAAGCAGCTGTTAACCTATCTGTGATGCCCTCAGGATGGCATCAGTCCCTGATGTCATTATCGTGGCTGCAGCAGAAATGGGCTTGCAAGTGGGCCATAATGACTCAAAGATACTGGGGGTATTGAGTGTGTGTTACATTTGCCTGAAAATGTACCCTGCATTAGAGGGACACTAAAGCATTGCTTGTTGCAGACAATCTGAATGCACTGGGCACCCAGAAGCCAGCTGATAGCCAGTTAAGGAAAGTCACCTGCAAGTTCAGGCTGTGTTCCATTGGAGCCATTGAGGGGGCTGCTTTTCCAGACTCCAGCAGTATGTTTCACTCTTCTGCTCCTGCTGATTCAGATGACTCATGTAGTTGATCACAGAAGAACAAGGAAGTCAGAAAGGATATCCCAAAGAATGTTCTCACGATAGGATCTCAGGTGGCAAATGGCTGTCCTGTTCCACAAGCACATAAAGCAGAAGAGACAGAAGCATCTTCTGATAAGAGGACTCAGCCCTACTGCTGTCATAGTTTTTAATGTAGGGCTACTTACCATTAATGTAGTAAGTTTTTAATGTAGGTGCTGGAGGAAAGCGTAGCATATACCCTGGATCAGCAAACAAACAAATCCTAGATCAAATCAAGCCTGAAGTTTCCTTAGAAGCAAAAATGAGAAAACTGGGGCTGTCGTACCTTGAGCACATCATGAGAAAGCAAAACTCCCTGGAGAAGACAGCCCTGCTAGGGAAAGTAGAAGGGAGAAGCAAAAAAGGAAGACTAAATATGAGACAGATTGACTCCATAACGGGAGCCACTGTCTTGAATTTACAAGCGCCGAACAAGGCTTTCGTGGTTAGGGCATTTTGGAGAGGTTTCATACAGGAGATATGGTGGAGTTACACATAACAGCTGGGCTACTTGAAACACCCAGAATGGGCTTCACCCTGAGTATGCAACCTCAGGGAAAACATGGACGAAATCCATGGGTGCAGCTGCAGCACCCTGGAAGTGATTTTGTTCATGGCATTGCTCTGCCCCAGGGGCTTCACTTGCCACTAATCTGTGGCCATTCATCTCCATGGACATCCTGTGAGTGGCACTTCCTGTTCTCCACAGCAGCTGTTCCCAGAGAGCCTGGCGCCTTCTGGATGTTTCAGACAGCAGCTCCTGTCTTGCCTGACCCTTTGCTATGCTGACTGCTACTGAGAGCCGAAGTCCGAAACATCTGACGGGTACCAGGCTGGGGAAGGCTTTTAAGATAATGGCACATTTAAAGGTGGTGGTTAGCATTAAAGGGTGTGTGGGGGTGCATCCCTGACTTTCTTTTTCTCTGATCTGTCTATAGAATAGATTTTTATAGCTTGATGTTGTGACAATGTAGCCTGATGTGAAAGAATACCATACTTAGTTTAAATAAAGGTTAGTGATTCTACAAAGGAATGCTGGTAGAGGAGGCCCTAAGCCCAAATCTCCCATTTCTTAGCATTGTTATCACTGTCCTCTTCATAAATTATCAACCCTAAATGGAGAGTTTCCTATTTAAATTAATTCAGAGCATCTCTTGAACATGACATACAACAGAAGTGACTGACAGCATTCAAGCAGGCCCTGGCCCATCATATTCCTGTCTCTGCTTTTTATGGTTTTTTTTTCCTTGTGGTTTTCAAGTCAACTTTGATAACAGTTACAAAGATCTTGGGGGCTGTCTGAATTTAAAAGATGTTACATATCATTCTGGAGGCCACTGCTAATCTGCAAAAATAAATGCACTGACAGAACTCAGGAGAGTTTTAAGCGCATTAAGGTGTTTTCAGATTTCATGCAGGAAATTCCAGCCCCCCCTCCCCCGCCCCTTCAAAGGATGGAAATACTTCAGTTAAGTCAATAACTGCCTCAAGCACAGCTTGTCCGGCAGTGACAGCAGCAACAGCTGTTGGTGGAGGAAAGTTATGAAATAAACTTTTGTGCACTCATCTCCTTCCATAAGGGTAGGGGGAGAAAAGGAAAGGGAAAACAACAGAAGTTTGATGAGGAACCTGAATGCAGAAATAGAAAAAACCTGAACACAAACAATAAAAAAGGAATTTCAAACTGAGCTTGATGCTTAAAGAAAGGCTGGGTGGAATATCTATTTTTACCAACTTTGATACACAGCCACAGTCTGTAGTCATAAATGCCCTGCTCCAGAGCTGAAGGTTGATTTTGGTGCCGTGTCAAGATGAAAAGTGATAGCTTGGCGTTGCCTAGGCTGGAGATGCCTATTTAAAGCCAGGCTAAACGGATTCACATTTTTGCAAGTAGGCTTTGCAGGCAGGCAGTTTGTTTAGCGTGATCTGCTCTTTCACCCCACTAAGGTGGCTGGTCACTGCGCAGCACAGAAGCAGGCATCCAGAAACCCACAGAAATTCAGGCTTAGCCATGCCCAGCTCCCTGCTGGAGGTGCAGTGGAAACTTGCCACAGGGTGCAGCGTTGACTCGGGGGCTCTGCGGCAGTGCTCCATCGAGGAAGAACATTCTCTTGTGATATCAGAAGGGTTTCTTTAGGTGGGGAAATGCATGCTTTCATAGGTGACTAGCAGTTTAGGCCTTTGTCCTGTTTTTTGAATTCACAAATGACTTATGTGTGAGGAATTTGCTTTGGGGGGGTGAGAATCTGTTGGATTCTCTGGCCTCCCTGTACTCAGGAACAAAATGCTGATGCAGGAGTCAATAATGCACTATATTTAGGAAGCCATACCCTTGGAATAGGCTGCAGGTACAAGTATTAAGTCTGTATCTGAGTTACTACAGATCTGGAATCCCATCTAATTTAGAGGTGGAGGAGATTGTCATTTCTTGTGGTTAAACAGTTGGTCAGCCCACTGCCAATGTCCAGTGATCTCCCAGTTTATCCAAGTGTAATTTTTGCCTCCACCATGCCACTCTTCCCCACGTCTGCTGCATTCCTTCGGTCGGGTCAACTGGTTGCTGAGGGAAGCTTTTGGAATCTTTTGCTATCATCAGTTCATCTGCTCCCAAATTGATACCAATTTTATCATATACAAATCAGGAGCGTCTGTGGAATTTCTGCCTGTCATGCCTCTTTCACACTGTCTGTAGAGAGGGTTCCAGTAGGCTTCATCTCCCCCTCCCCTCCCCTCCCCGCCCCCCAATTCATCCTTACTCAGCCATCTGCACAGTGGGAGCACAGCTTCATTCTAAATGTAAATAGAGATGGAAACCACAGCTTCCTGTATCAGCAAAGCAGGTGCATCTAAAGAGCCCAGAACTTCCTGTTATGTGACCAGTTTGGTTTGTGAGTCCACAGAAATGTTTTAAGGCAGCTCATCTCCCATTTAGGTTTCAAAACTAGGACTCACTTTTCAAGAGAACGAATCAACTTGGAAGTCTGTTAAGGTACCACTGAATTGTGTTTTTAAGAGCTGATGAAATAGCCACTGTATCTTGCATAAATGTTTGCAATTAGTGCAGGGCAATAAAAAATCAGGACTGTGAGGTATAAATAACCATACTGCTGGATGTCTTTATGGCAGCAAACAGGAAGGAGGGACAGGAGATGTATGCATGCATTGTTCCTTCTTTGAGTTCCCCAGGGGCATAACCATTTGTCCAGGTGTTTTCCACTTTCTGTCATGTGCTAGAAGATAGTCCCATGCAAAAGGGGAAGGTTGATTACAGAGACAGGGTTTATGACCTCAGGCTGCAAACAACACTTCGCACATTTTGCTTTGTGACAGAAAGCATGCACCCTCAGTGTCCTGTATACGTGAGACTCCAGGAGGGTGTCTCCATTTTGTTCAAAAGCAAGGATCAAATACAACTGTTTACTGTTGGATGAAGATATCAGACCCCTCTGAAAGATTCTTTCAGATGTTATGAAGTCAGCCTTAGGTAGCTAAGGTTAGAACAGCTGTAGGCAGACTCTGTGATGTCTGGATTTGCTCCCCCTGTCACTCAGAGAGGAAGCAGCTGCATAGTTGGCCCTAGAACATCGCTCCATCTTCCCCCCAAAAATATCCCAAGCCAGTTCCATGTTCAGGCATGAGCAAGTGCTGCAAGACTTCTTAAAGCTCTCTACATTTAATAAATGGGTACATTATTTGGATAGACCTTGGAAAAGGAGGGATTATGACAGAGAGCCATTGTGATGCAGCAGTTAAGAGCATGGGACTGGGACTCAGGCGTTCTAGTCCCTGCTCAGTCCTGGAGCGCGCGGGGTTACTTTAGGCTGGTCACAGACTCTTACCCCAACCTACCCCACAGCATTGTTGTGAGGGTAAGATTGACAGGAAGGGAACTATGTAAGCTAATTTGAGTTCCTTGAAAGAAAAAAAGGC